GTGTGAAAAATATGACATATCGCCGATCTGATCTGATCCGCCATTGAAATACTACAGGGCGTTGCTTGAGTGTTTCTAGTTATTATTCTAAACACTTCTTTCACATACACCTTTAATTTTTATGAGTAGAATATACCATCAGGTGAAAGGTGTTTGCAAGTAATAGTGATAGTTTCATAATTTAAAAAAATTGTTAGGGTGTATTTGAGGTGAGTGAAAAATATGACATATTGCCGATCTGATCTGATCCGCCATTGAAATACTACAGGGCGTTGCTTGAGTGTTTCTAGTTATTGTTCTAAAAACTTCTTTCACGTACGCCTTTAATTTTTATGAGTAGAATATACCATCAGGTGAAAGGTGTTTGCAAGTAATAGTGATAGTTTTATAACTTTAAAAAATTTGTTAGGGTGTATTTGAGGTGAGTGAAAAATATGACATATCGCCGATCTGATCTGATCCGCCATTGAAATACTACAGGGCGTTGCTTGAGTGTTTCTAGTTATTATTCTAAACACTTCTTTAACATACACCTTAAATTGTTATGAGTAGAATATACCATCAGGTGAAAGGCGTTTGCAAGTAATAGTGATAGTTTCATAATTTTAGAAAAATTGTTAGGATGTATTTGAGGTGAGTGAAAAATATGACATATCGCCGATCTGATCTGATCCGCCATTGAAATACTACAGGGCGTTGCTTGAGTGTTTCTAGTTATTGTTCTAAACACTTCTTTTAACGTACGCCTTTAATTTTTATGAGTAGAGTATACCATCAGGTGAAAGGTGTTTGCAAGTAATAGTGATAGTTTTATAACTTTAAAAAACTTGTTAGGGTGTATTTGAGGTGAGTGAAAAATATGACATATCGCCGATCTGATCTGATCCGCCATTGAAATAGTACAGGGCGTTGCTTGAGTGTTTCTAGTTATTGTTCTAAACACTTCTTTCACATACACCTTTAATTTTTATGAGTAGAATATACCATCAGGTGAAAGGTGTTTGCAAGTAATAGTGATAGTTTCATAATTTAAAAAAACTTGTTAGGGTGTATTTGAGGTGAGTGAAAAATATGACATATCGCCGATCTGATCTGATCCGCCATTGAAATACTACAGGGCGTTGCTTGAGTGTTTCTAGTTATTGTTCTAAACACTTCTTTCACATACACCTTTAATTTTTATGAGTAGAATATACCATCAGGTGAAAGGTGTTTGCAAGTAATAGTGATAGTTTTATAATTTAAAAAAATTGTTAGGGTGTATTTGAGGTGAGTGAAAAATATGACATATCGCCGATCTGATCTGATCCGCCATTGAAATACTACAGGGCGTTGCTTGAGTGTTTCTAGTTATTGTTCTAAAAACTTCTTTCACGTACGCCTTTAATTTTTATGAGTAGAATATACCATCAGGTGAAAGGCGTTTGCAAGTAATAGTGATAGTTTCATAATTTTAGAAAAATTGTTAGGATGTATTTGAGGTGAGTGAAAAATATGACATATCGCCGATTTGATCTGATCCGCCATTGAAATACTACAGGGCGTTGCTTGAGTATTTCTAGTTATTGTTCTAAACACTTCTTTCACATACACCTTTAATTTTTATGAGTAGAATATACCATCAGGTGAAAGGTGTTTGCAAGTAATAGTGATAGTTTCATAATTTAAAAAAATTGTTAGGGTGTATTTGAGGTGTGTGAAAAATATGACATATCGCCGATCTGATCGGATCCGCCATTGAAATACTACAGGGCGTTGCTTGAGTGTTTCTAGTTATTGTTCTAAAAACTTCTTTCACGTACGCCTTTAATTTTTATGAGTAGAATATACCATCAGGTGAAAGGTGTTTGCAAGTAATAGTGATAGTTTTATAACTTTAAAAAATTTGTTAGGGTGTATTGGAGGTGAGTGAAAAATATGACATATCGCCGATCTGATCTGATCCGCCATTGAAATACTACAGGGCGTTGCTTGAGTGTTTCTAGTTATTGTTCTAAACACTTCTTTCACATACATCTTTAATTTTTATGAGTAGAATATACCATCAGGTGAAAGGTGTTTGCAAGTAATAGTGATAGTTTCATAATTTAAAAAACTTGTTAGGGTGTATTTGAGGTGTGTGAAAAATATGACATATCGCCGATCTGATCTGATCCGCCATTGAAATACTACAGGGCGTTGCTTGAGTGTTTCTAGTTATTATTCTAAACACCTCCTTATCATACACCTTTAATTTTTATGAGTAGAGTATACCATCAGGTGAAAGGTGTTTGCAAGTAATAGTGATAGTTTCATAATTTTAGAAAAATTGTTAGGGTGTATTAGAGGTGTGTGTGCAAAATATGACATATCGCCGATCTATTCTGATCCGCCAGTGATGCTTGAGTGTTATAGTTCTAAAACTTCCTTCTTTCTTGTTGATCTTAGATATCTGAACTAATTACTAATGTAAAAAACGTCTCAAAGTAGATTTTTTTTTAAAGGACAGCTGATGTTAACACACGTGTTCTAGCGATAGTTTTGCATTCTTTAACATGTTTTGGGGAAGGAAGGCCGTGGTGTATCATTTATTCTTTCATTCATTCACATATGTATTTCTTTCTTTTGTTCTTTTCTTTACTTCTTTCATTCATTCACGTATAATTCTTGCTATAATTCTTGCTATAATTCATTCATTCATTGTAAAATACAACAAACTGGCTGAAGTACTGTTAAACGCAGCCGAAGTTGCGCTGGGAACGAACCAAGTAACTGTGTGCGTTGGAGCATGACGAGGCACACGCTAATTAGGGTGTCAGCCCGATCTGTCCACAAATGAAAAATAGGATGTTGCTAATCGTCGACAGAACAAAAAACCCGATGTGTCGACATCGCGTAGTCAACATACCGTGTCGGTGTTAATTAAAGAAAGAGAATGTTTGCTTAGCGATTTGCAAGTGACCATGTTCGTTTCATGAGTAAATGAATTACGTTAATTATAGAGAATGTCTTTTTAATAATTTGTGAGAGAATTAAGGTTGCAAACAAACTATTATTTTTAAAATACGTTATGCGATTGGAAGGATTACCATTTTGGAGTTAACATGCAAAAATAATAACGGAAAGAAACAGAGATCTTACAAATTATTTTGTGATATTGGGAGTAGAAGGATTATTGAAATGCTGTTGAAAACATTTTTTGGATACATTTGGATTCCGTTACTTCCACCTGGGTAGAAGGTCCATGGACTCTGCCAAAATGGAATTATTTTGAAAATGATGGACACAAAACTAACAATAATTTGGAAGGTTGGCACAACAAAATCAGCAAGTATGCCATAAAGACACATCCGAATGTGTTTGAGGTTGTGCGAATGCTGCAAATACAACAGCCAGCTACTGAAGTTAAAATTCAGCAGATCCGAGGACAGCAGAGATCCCGTCCGTAGACATCGCTATCGAATCATCGACGCTAGGATTCGGTCCTTCTTGCCAACAGACTTACTGACTTGAACTACACAGACCATGTGTCAGAGTTGCTCCATCTTGGCTGAACATTACAGATTACTTTAGTGCAGATATAAAGGAGTTTTGGCAAGAAGAAATATCTGGACTCATCTTTTATATAATTATTGCTTATACACATGCAGAAATCACTTATTTATAACACACACACACACACGCACACACACACACACAAATATATATTGTGATTTCAGAAATATATATACAAATATGTTATATTGTGTGACATATGATACATACATGTTGTTATATTGACTAAATAAATATAATGTCTTTTATATATATCACTCTGGACTGTATATTTATATATATCACCCGGACTGTCGACAAGTAATTTGGACGGATTATTCGTTGTTGTCGACAGGCCGGGTATAAACCCTAATTAGTACAAATGGTAAAGAAAGCAAGCGAGTGACCTATCCCTGTTGTAGATTATCCCTGATTTAGCCTTGTTCAATATCATATCATATAGGGTATCCGTTTTCGTTCTTTGAATATTTTTGATTGTTTGAATAAAAGTTACAAAAGAAATTGACACATTTAGAAAATCACACCATATTTGAAACCTTTACACAAGTGTTAGTAGATCAAGCGGAGCCATAACTGCAACATGTACTTTAGTTCCTATGATGTACAATATTAAATACATTGGGACCAATATTGTAGTTTCATATGGACAAGTTAACGGACAGTGATTTAATTCAAACTTTATAAGTAAAATTGATAATATTAATGGAAATGATTTGTACTTTTTATCTTGTAATTTTCAATGGAATTTAGTGAGAGAATCCAAAATAATTCATTTATTGATATTTTTTTGACGATAAGATAACCTGTACATTCAAATAAAAATATAACATTTGCATTGTTATTCAAACTGTATTTCTATTTTGAAATACTTTGGGAATAACAAGATAAGCAGGTGCCCGTTCGGTCTCGCTTTATGCGTTGCTATGCAACAAAGTACCTCTTTTACAATGTACGACATGGATTTAGGACCGCTTCGTACGACATGGATATGACGTCTTTGTGAAACGGTCGTAAAGGAAGTTGAAAGAGGGTCGTAAACAAGGTCGTATGGGCTACGACCTCCTAAATTTAGGAGGCTTTTGTGAAACGCGGTCCAGCGTTACTAAGTATACCTGAAAGTGACGGCGGAGTTATCACTCTACCCTGAAGTTTAATCAACGTACATTCACTAATTGTCATGGTAATTCCACCCATCTCATTTATGTTATCTTAGCTCATCATCATGTTATTAAAGCTCATCTTGTAACGTTCTTCGATGCTTTGTTTTTCCTCATTTGTTATTGTTATCTCAACATCATGTGTTCTTGTATATCAACTGGTGTACCCCATTATTCCCCCCATATGCTTGAAAACGGTATAAGAATCTATACCGAAACGTCACTATTGTTAAATGAAATAAGTTGATCATCCATAAAGTTTTGTCATCTCTATCTTTAAATATCGAAAGTGGTAAATGGCATACTGACCGGGCGTGTCATTTGTATTTATATGACGATCGCAAGTTTTTCCGTAGTAATTGCTCTTGCATTTCATACAATGTCCTGTGGTTCTGTTGCAAGCCTTGCACCCTTTTCCACACTCTCGGCTACAGTCATCTCCATATCTTCCATCAGTACATGCTGTATCGGAACATGTTCCTGCCTGGTTACACTGGAATCCATGGCACTGTTCTTGACATGTGAGATTACAGAATAATCCATATTGATTATCCTTGCACTTCGTGCATTTTTCCTGAAGGCGTTCACATGTTTGGCAGTTTTCTGGACATGGAATTCTACAAATCGTACCCCAAAATCCCTCAACACAACCTGCAGCACATATGGTTTTACCAGATTGTGTTCTGGTGCAGTTGTGGTTGAGACAGTTCAGGGTTTTACCAGTGCAAATATGGTGGCCTCCGACTTCTGAAATTGTAAAGAAATACTGTTTAGTGGAAGCAGAAAACGACAATGGAAAGAGGAAACATCCTGTTCCTTAAAAGGATACACTGTACATGAAAGGTGAGATAATTATCAATAGGATTCTGTTTTAAAATTCCTGTTGTTAATTATGAACTCATAAGCGAGGTGCGCCCAAAGTGAGTTATCTTTAAATGTTATGAAATATTTAGATACGTGACTTTTATTTTTCAGATAAATTAGCATTGCAACGGCCTTTTAGTTATGATGGCGGAAGTCAGACTACTGTGACAATATATTTTCCTGAACATAAAACAAGGTGATGGTAACACTTAACACTGTCAAGTATCAGTATTTCTCAGAAGTGATATAGTATGACGAGCATGGGAAAGTATGAGCTATCTTCACCTGACTGGAAAATGAAAACCGAAAACCGAAAACCTGATTATCATAACAGCTTTACAGCATTTATTCAAGAGCGTTATATTTTGATTATTACTTCACAGAGACAGCGGTTACGCGATGCATACTTTCTTTTGCTTGAGGTCGCAAGTATATACCCATGTTTGCAAGGTCAATCCCGCTTTCTCAGCATCAAAACCATGATAAACTAAAGATGTCCAGTCGTTAAGTGGAACTCATGATGTTTGACATAATTGCGGTTTATGGAGGGATATTCGCAATACCCCAACTATTAGTATTTTAAATATGTATTCATTTACGTCGCTAGAAGTTCCAGCTCTCCAACTGTACAACCAAGCACCATAAGTATTACAATTACGGTAGCCTTCTGAGTCCAGTACATTCATGTAGGAAGATTCTCAAAATGTTATAGTTGTGTAGAGAGGTGGCTTGAAGTGGGGATGAACGTCGCGTCCAAGAGTACTGAACCGATATGACGACGTGTGTTTGTTTATGTGCGTGTGTGCGTGCGTATGTTTTTGAGTCTCAGCCAACTGACATCCTATGACAATTAGACACAGTTAGTTATTTACATAGTTTGTTATTTAACGCAAAACTAAGCAATATGCCAGCTATCACAGTGGCTATGATCTGTGATTAATCTTGACCAAACTATCCAGTGATCAACATCTTGAGCATCGATCTACGCATTTGGGATACATGTGACATGTGACAACCAAGTCAGCGAGTCTGATCACCGTTAGTCGCCTCATGCGACAAGCATGGTTGTAGAAGGACAGTTTTAACAGGATCTTCAAAGATTTATGTACATAAAGTATAAGAGAACATTTAAAATTTAGGACCTGAAGTCTCAAAATACAATTTTGCCACGTTTCCTTGACGATTGCTTTATGCTGTGGCCCTTTGAAAACAACAAATCAACTCTGTTTCATAGCTTTCTACACAATTTGAACAAACATCTGGATGTTACCACTGCCTCTAGTCAGTCGGAAATTCCATGTTTGGTGACCATGGTCAAAAAGTGGACGTAACCTTGAAAGAGATATATACTATATTCCAATAGATACTAAGCATTATCTTACCTAATTTCATTGGTCAACGACGCTTTAACAAGTTTCCGTGTCACCCCACCCAGGAGGGTGATAACTGGAAAAAATATTACCCGCTGCCACGGTAACAGCCAAACTCTCCGCCGAGAAGCTGTATAACTAACAATCGTATGACGTCATAATATGACGCATGCAGTGTACGGAGTTCGAAAACCGTTCCATTACCTGTTTTTGAGTTCACTATGTGCACATTTATTTTACCGACTTTCACTGCTTTATTTCAACTAGTTTATACATTGAATCGTTTGGACACTCAACATAAACATGATTAACCATTTTTTATAGCAGTTCTAAGCTTGTCAGAATATGTTTCACTGATTTAAAAAATCCAGTCGAGAAACAGACAGTTTACATGTCGGTAGTGATCTTGAAAACATTTGACATGGCGGTAAGATAAATACGTTGTATGCTTCTCCCTCGGGAAATACGGCCATATTGTAGCAATGTCATCCCTCGCCTACCGGCTCGGGTGACAATGCTACAAACAGGCGTATATCAGACTGTATTACCCTCGAGCGAAGCATACAACTTATACTATCCATATTTCATGTTTTTCAACCGAATCATACAAAAATAAGCATTCCATATAATTTAGAGGACGTGTTTACATGATTGTGTCAAATATGTCTACAAGGATTTGAAATCGTTTCTACACTCCCGTGGATACACGATTCTACTTGCCGAAGATGGAATATATACTATCCCCAAAAAGAAACGCATAGGCGTTTTTATTTTATTTTTAAACTCTATTAATTACCAATTGTGTTAAAACAATCGTCAAAATATGTAAAAAAAAAAGTTTTGATAACATGATTTTACACTATTGCACAAGTGATAAATCGACTTTACCTGAAAATATTGATATTGATGAGATTTCTTACAAGAATTAAAAAGGCATCGCTACAACGCAACAGAAATCACCTTCCAGTTGAAACTGTGCAGCAAAGAGCATGCGCTGTCTGGCTATAAAAATCCGGATTACTTTCGGAAATAGGCATTCGTTTTGAAGGAGTTTCAAGGTCAAATCACTACACCACACCTTGACGCTGCGACACAGAACATAGGCATTGAAAGAATGCACGCTGGAGATTACCAAGCTTCTGTTGCCGGGTGTCTGAATGTAAGTCTGAGCACGATATCACGGCTTGCAGCTCGTTACAACCAAACAGGTATAACAAATGACCGTCCAGTACAGGCAGACCTCGAGTCACCACTGCAGCCCAAGTTCGGAACATCCGGGTACTACATTTGCGTGATCGTACTGCCACGGATGAGAGCACAGCAGCCTGGGTGCCTGGACTTCGAAAGGATATACGGTCAAACTGTACGGGGCAGGTTGAGAGAGATTGGGCTGAAAGCCAGGATTCGACGTCGGGACCATGCTACGTGGTCACCATCGCGCTCAGTGTCTCCGTTATCTAAAATTATCCACTTGGTTGTATAGACATTACCTTCTTCTAAACTGATGTAGAAATACATGTGCCAAAGTCTATTCGTTGTAGAGTTATACATGTTTGAAAACACAACATTTTCGCAACAGGTTTCTTGGACATGCGTTTCTTTTTTTGGAATAGTATACAAAGCAACAGTCACAGGCAGTAAAAAACGACTAAAACAGCGTTATAAGCAAGAATTAAGACTGGCCTATGTATCTACACATAACCCAAAGAAATAGGAGATTTTCTAAACCTTAGACAAATTGTTCCCATGTTAAATGCTGCTGTTAAAATGAATTATGGCCAATGTAACAATGATAAAATGTTAACGACAGAGTGGTAACTTAAAATACAGCCAGTAAAATTGTTGTAGTGTCTTCGAGTTTATTCACCTTTTCTATGAGCGGGAGTTTGTCAAAAAGGCAACTAAAATTAGAATGATAGTTACCATATTTTATCTCACCATTTTGAGCTTCTTCCTTCTGGACGCCGCTTTCGATTCCTTTCCCTCAAGACAGAGCTCGACAGTCTTTCATACCATTCAGTATTCGTTAATCCAACAAATGTTTTGAATCAACATTATGTGATAGTTACTGGAATTATTCAGCCTCTTTACCTATGTGGTTAATTGTATTATGTATATATGTGTGTTTGTATATGTGTGTAACCAGCATTCATTTTGTGCATGTTATTATTTATATATTTGTGAATTGTGTATATAATCATTTTGAGAACGTTTTGATTCAAAGAATTTCCTCCTGGATAATAAAGTTATATCTTATCTTATCTTGTCTTAAAACAGCTGTTAACACGTGCTCGATTCGACTTTTGTATTCCGTCTACAGAATTCCGGGTATCAAAATGTAACCAGGGGAAATTTTCGAACTGGTAAATATATAGTTATTCATGTATAAAATGTATAAGCAGGAAAGACCTATTGCATGCCATTGTACATTCTAATCGGGACTGTTCAGGAAAATTAGTATTTATGTTATTATATGCCAAGGGTGTCATAAGATCTGTAAAGTGAACGTTGTGCGAGAATTGCGTTCATGTAGCACTGGAACTAACTACGATTATTTTAATTACGAGGATATGTAGATTATTACCATTCCTATTTGATGATATAAATTCCATTACAAATACTTAAGAGGTTTGAAAATGAAAAATAGACATTGTGCAATTTTTATCCACAATTTTGCTGAGCCAAATAAAAAAAACTAGTTAAATTCTATTGTAGACCGAAAGGTCAGGTTCATTGACAATCCCAACTGCGTAGATCGCTGCTCATGCTGTTGATCTCTTGATTGTCTGGTCCAGACTCGATTGTGTACAGATCCCCGTCATAATTATTGCTGAGTGCAGCGTTAGACAACAAACCAACCAACCAAACCAAACCAATAATTACTGCGTTATCGTGTTGGTAGAAAATGCCACGTGATTGTTGCTGGATAAATGACACCACAAACCAAACCAATAAATACTGCCTTTATATCTGAACGACATAACAATGTAGGAAATGAATTTGTATGCTTATGTATAACGTCATATATTCAATGTATCAAATGGCTTGCCATAAATGACGAAAGTTGATTTTCCTCTCTGACGTCACACACAACAGAGGTCACACACGCATCAAAATAAGGTGACAGAACTGCGCAATGCTTAACACTAGGTCACTTGGAGAAAATTTGCTGTAGATAAGCACAATCACTATAAATATTTAATAAAGTATATAACCATTTATAACTTTCTTTAAGTAATTTATTTAGTACAACTAAGAACATTACATGAAATTGCTGTTCACTAACATGTTGATATGAAAGTTGAAACACTGAATATTACACATCGTAGGATATATACGCAAAAACTAGTGCTCAAAAGAAAGTATACAGTATACAAAAGCATATATATAGATAAACATCTTATTTAATTTAATAGAGAATTCAATTCTACAGCAAAGGTACATAATTTTTCATTTCATATAAAGTCGAAAGTACCGTTTGACTGACATAATGATTGAAAGATACGTGGAATCATAGTCTGAACTTTTATACAAACTCAAAAGGCGCTTTTTTCTACGAAATGTAATCAAATGTGAAACAATAGTGATTGTGACCTCCATTGGCTTAAATACACGCAAAAACGTCGACGACGACGCATTATCATGTCGTAAGACAACAAATGACGTTAGGCGTGATCCGCTGCCATTCCTGCTCCAGGTGTTGAGCGGTGACAGTTGGCGCTGGTAGTCCCATAAGTGTTCTATCGGACTCATGTCGGGAGAACATGCTGGCCACGGCAAATCAACGATATTAGCGTTACGCAGAAAGTCGTTTCTCAGTCTTGCTGTATGCGGCCTTGCGTTATCGTGCTGGTAGAAAATGCCACATAATTGTAGCTGGATAAATGGCAACAGCATCAACTTCATCCCTGTATCTTCGAGCATTCAGGTTGCCATGATTAATCACAAGTCTCGTATCTCCCCACACCATCCTGCTTCCGGTTCCAAATGGTCGGGCTAAACGTCCACTTCTCGCCTGTAGACAAGAGAACGGCTGTCATTACTGAACAGGCAAAACATACTCTCGTCGGTGAACATCACACGTTGCCAATCATGCATCTCCCAACGTCGAACTCGTCTGGCCCATGTCAGTCGACTACGTCGGATGCACTCCGCGGTAGGGTCGACATGCTCGAATACCATGTTCTCTTAGTCACCGGTACACTATGTCGACTGACACGGTGTCCTGGGGCCGTCGCTGCTGTTGACGTCACCGTTACAAAATGATTTCTCAGATGAATTGTCCAGGTGTGGTGATCATCACTGGGCGTTGGCACATGTGGTCGACCACTCCTAGGCCTGTCTGACGTATTGCTTGTTTGTCTTAGTCGTTGCATCAGTCTGATGACAGTTTCTCGGGTGCAGCCCAAGGTTCTGGCAATGTGTTAGCCCGTTGTTGGGCCCTTCCGATAGCTCTCTCTCTCTCGTTCGATTTGCCTCAAACGGGGCATCGTTTTGTATTCTTTTTACTACTGCGTTGCTCACATGTCGCGTAGGCTGTTTTATACAGTCAGTATATGCACGTGCATATTGTGTTACATCAGAAAAAGTCGTTTTGGATTTTTTGCGACGTTTAGGCAATTTGTTGACTTGTTTCGCCGTTTGTTCCCAGAAAGGATGTGTATGTACGTGTGTGACAGGGTTCAGTATGGTTTATCACTTCATTTTTATTTGAGAATTTTCACGTAATATTTTTACGGTGTATAGTTTCTTTTGAGCACTTGTTTATAATGAACAAGACACAATGGGCGGTGTAGTATTGCAATGTATTCGACAGAACTTCACCTGTTTTACATATAATGAGGGTTTGTTAGACTCCGTATAGCAGTGTAACGAATAATACTGAGCCTAAGTTTACTTAGACTGCATGATCATGCTATTTTAGATATTCAATCCTCCGAGTAATTATCCGATGTTTACATTAAACATTCGCAATATACACCAAATATCCCCGTGAATCGCGATTTCGTAATATGTAAAATATGTTCTCAATTTTGAAAGCTCATTTTCAGCAAACAGGAAACAGGAAATTTTCCGCACATTCGACATCAAAGTGAGGGCTAAAAGGGAGGGACATTGGGGGTTAATGCTGAGACCCATGCACGGTAACAAGATGTTCAATCCTTAAACATGTGTTGGCCTTCAACATACATTGATGAAATCCTTTATGTACTCACCATGATCCGTTGCACAACTAGAGAGGCACGTTTCCTGCATCTGAATTCCTGCAAGACCATATTTATTACATCCCAACTGACAGTCCATTCCATAGAAGCCATGTTTACATGCTATACACCCTCTATCAGTTTTTCCACATCTCAGGAACGTTTGGTTGCACTGATTGCTACAGTTAGGCCCATACCATCCGTCCTGGCATGTTGAGTTAGAACAGGTTCCATCTTTATTACAATGAAATCCGTGGCATATAGCGTCACATGTATTGTTACAGTAGTCTCCATTGACATCACCAGAACATATCAAGCATGTCCCCTCAAATCGGTCACACATCTCACAGTGTTCAGGACATGGGATGCGACATCCGGTTCCCAAGAAACCTCTTACACAACCCTCGGCACACTCAGTTTTACCAGTCGTTGTCCTGGTGCAGTTTCCCTGAAGACAGTTGCGATATTTGTCATTCGGACACGGGTCCTGAACAGACACTGAAACAGGAACATGGATGTTTAGGCCGTAAAACCGTAGTTCAGCTGCAGTTTGGAACAGGAGAGGAAATGCATGCGACATTCATCACTGATTACGGGTTTATGACCACGTGACGTTGATCTCTGGGGGCATCATTGTACTTATGATAAAAGACGAAGACTTTAAGAATGCTGTATCTGTAGGTTATAATAAACGGTAGCTTATTTGTTTGATGTCCCTAATATTTAAGTGTCATACTTACTTTGTAGAATGAGAAGCATAAGCAGGAACATCATTGTGTGCGCCGAGTGTCCCGTGTCTGAAACAAAATTAAATTAGTTAGTGTAATACATGCACGGAATATTGGCAATTGGCGTGTAGGTACACGTGTAGTTGTTACGAGTGATTTTTCTCCACAAGGCGGTATGACAAAAGGGTTGATTTCATTTTCCACTCGTCAACTTTCCTTTCAAGTCGAACAATATTGAAACAGCTCGTCAACTTTCCTGTCAAGTCGAACAATATTGAAACAGCTCGTCAACTTTCCTTTCAAGTCGAACAATATTGAAACAGCTCCAGCATTTGGCGTTTACTTTTCACAGTTTGTTAGGTACAATCGAGCATGCTCTTTGTACAGAGATTTCAAAGAGTGTCATACAACTCTTGCTCAGAAGTTGTGTGATCAAGGTTACAACATTTAAGGCCTCATTAAAGCTTTCAAAAGATTTTCTGGTAGACATGTGGCGAACATTTCAAAATTTGATGCACCAGTGATAAAAGATGTCCGATGCAATTCCCTGTTTTGATTTTTACCAATATGGGGCGTTTTTCCATACGTTCTCGAATTATTTCAGATGGATAGTTGACAAGTCTTTTGCATATGACTACGACGAGTGCCTCCGGCGGGGCAGGATACGCTCACCTGGTATTGATAGTGACTCACAAATACATGCTTTGTAGTCGTAGCTCATGGTGTCAACCTATGGGTTGCCTAATAATAATAATAATAATAATGGATATTTTAAGCGCGCCATTTTCCACCCACTGATACATGCTCAAGGCGCTACATAAAAGCATACATACAATGCATACAGAGGATAAAATAGTAAAATAAGTATACATTGAAATTGATGACAGAAAGATTGATTTTATGGATAGGCTTTGGAAAAAGTCTCCAACTTAATTTTGAAAGTTTCCAATGTGGGAGACTGCTTTATGTGGAGAGGGAGAGAATTCCACAGAGTAGGACCAGCGTACTGGAAAGACCTCTTGAATAAGAAAGAAAGGAGACCTTTGGGAATGGAGAGAAGACATTGGTCTTGAGATCTGAGAGTTCTGGTAGGGGAGTACACAGTGAGAAGTTCAGAGAGATATGAAGGAACTTGATTATGCAAACATTTATACACAATGCTTAGAAGTTTGAAGTCAATCCGGAACTTGATTGGAAGCCAGTGTAATGATGAGAGTACAGGGGTGATATGGTCTCATTTAGTGGTAAGGGATATAATACGTGCTGCTGTATTTTGGACTTTTTGTAGTTTATTGAGATGTCCGTTGGTGAGTCCGTATAGAAGGCCATTACAGTAATCCAATCTGGATGTTACAAGGCATCTCACAAGAGTGAGGGCACTTTCCATTGTGATGTGCTTCCTAATCGTCCCAATGAGTCTGAGGTGGTAATAGCAGGTATGACACAACTTATCCACATGCGAATCTAGAGACAGGCCCGAATAAATATAAGCACCAAGATCTTTTATCAAAACTGACGGTGTGATGTTAGCTGAACCAATCTTCACACCATCGATGTTAAATTTCTCCAAGCTCTTTGGTTTCCCAACAAGGAGAACCTCTCTTTTAGTGTCATTCAGTTTTAGTTTTCTGCCCGTTATTCATGTCTTGATTTCCAAGTACAATTCTCAATCTCTTTCAACGTTGATTGGGCATTATTTGGTCTGAACTTTGTCAGGAGTTGGTTGTCATCAGCATAGGAAAAGTGTGGTATTAAAAACTTGTCACTGATCAGAGAGAGTTGGTTGATGTAAATCAGGAAGAGCACTGGGCATAGAACAGTTTAGAGACTGTGCTGTAATACTACTGAATGCAGGGTCAGTCAGAATTGTAAATCGATTGTGCTTTAAGCAGAGACATTTTTCGGATGTGAAAAAGGGTTTGTCGTTTCTCTTGACTATCATTTTGTGATCATTGTATTCCTTGTAATTTTAATGTAAGAATATAATACCATAATCTGCCACACTATACTACTGGAATAAAGTAACTGTGCATTATTTGATGCTATGCCATTTTGTAATACAAAATGATAATAACATGGTTTGTGGTGTTTTCCTTAATCATTACTTAAAGGTCACATGCAACCAAAAAAACAAACATAATTAAAACACAAATATCACTTATTCATGACATATAATATACATTGCTGGTTATGAAAAAAACATAAAAACAAAATTATAAGCGTACAATTGGAAATCAAAAGTGCAATATTTTGTACTTGGGTTTACTTCCCAAGAAACGAAGCAGCCGGGATACCGAACCCAGTCAGAGCGGGTTTGTGTGCACTCAAGTGTAACGGCTGGTTCATTTGCAGATGCCCTCACGGCTCATTATGTGTGTATATAGAGATGTTGGGTTTTGTAAATACATGCTCATTTTTTGTGCATAACATTTTGCAATCAACAGACATCATAACATGTCATGTGTTCAAGTATCACACCTGCCTGTCTGTGTAATTACATAATGTGACAGAGACCGAACTCGGGCCATAAATCAATGCGTTTTGTTTATGGTGTATAGCCTGACTGGTGTTAAGTTCAAATTGCATGTGGTCAGTGATCGCAGTTGTGTATTGAATATTGTCATTAGCAGACAGGCAGGCAGACACACAGGTGTCAATAAAACAAGACATTGAGTTTTGTCTGTGACAACGACATATCTATATCACATTTAGAAATTGTGTCAACGCTAAATAATGACATTGCTTTTAAGTATCGAACTGAGAAAGTGACTCGGTAAGAAGAACGTCTGGTGAAATAGACAAATGAAAATATATAAACAGTTAATTTACTGTCATAACATATAGAAAGCTCGCGCCTGTGAGATATCAACAAAACATTAGGAAAATAGCTCACACCAAAGCCTTCACCGAGTATTCACCGGACAGCCCGCTTCCAAGTTGCGCGAACCTATTTCACTGCGCACGTGCTATGAGCGCAGCCCAGCTGTTGAAACCAGTTTTTCCCCGAAAAGTCGGGGGAAAATTAGTGAATCGTTTGAACTACGATTTCGCGCGGTTTTTTTCATCGCGTTATTTTTCAACTTTATAAGTTGAATTTGCATTTTTGATGATTTGTTTCGGTAAGTCCATACCGAAAGGTATCAGAATCTGCAAAGTTGTGTTTTACGTTGCATGTGACCTTTAAAAAAACCCAAATAACAACAACAAAAAAACAAAAAAACGACGATTGAAGAAAGCTTGGGGAATGTTGTTCCATGTCTGAACCAACGCTTGGCCCAATTCAGCTAACGTCAGTGGGTGATTCAGGGCTTGACGAAAACGTCCCCCATTTCATCCAAGACGTGCTCGATAAGGAAAAAAAGATCCGGAAAAAAACAGCTGGCATCGGAGTACCGGAATGTTCTGCTGTCTCAGGAAATCTCTACGAGTGACATGTAGACGAGCATTATCTTGCTGAAACGTGAAGTTACGTCTCTATCTTTGAATGAACGGCTGCACACGAGGCCCAATGATCTCATCCCTAGATCGCAGACCTGTAAGATTGCCATCGGAAATGGCAAGTGGTGTCCGACCATGAGATGTGATGTCTCCCCATAGCATAAAGCCCCGCCACCAAACTGTCGACGCACGCATCAGCATACCGTTCACCTGGCATACCCTTGCCCTGCCAGATGAAATCTCGCCTCATCAGTGAACAAAACACCCCTCCCAATCTTGTCTCCTGTACCGTAGATGCTGTATGCACATGTCGGTGACGTTGGAGCGAAATGGGACGTATTGCATGCCGTCGGGGCCAGATGTTGTGTTCTCTCAGTCGGTTACGTACAGTCCTGGAACTGTTATAAGGTAAAAATGTATCCCTAAACCGTTCAAGAATCACATCAGATTCCGTATTTAGATTTACAGTCCTACTCAGGAGTGATAACCTTTGGCTCATGAACGGTTCAACATAGAATTGAGACATTAAGTCGGGAATAAGAAAAGATAAACAGAGAGACGTGATCTTTGCCATAGCTTTCGCGAGGCAAGGACACGACAAGGTTGTCAGAGGAAAATTACAAAACACATGAGTCAGGGTTAGATACAGTTGTTAACGAATCAGACAGATGTGTTGAAACATGTGATCAAACATCAGGTCAGACTCGACCATTTAAAAAGACATGTTTGGCACTAGGAGCTCAGTTTGGAGAGTACGAGCTAACATTCTCGGAAGCCAATCCACGTCACTCAGTCTCCCGTATGGTACAAACCTGCCATGTCTGGTGTTGAAGTTGTAGTTATAGAGTTGGACTGAGACAGAGTACACCTACGTGACCATTGAATCTGGTGTTTCGTTGATGCTTGAATGCATGTGTGCCAGTACATGGATGTAATGTGTTTAATTAGGAGTCAGGTCGTCCTCCCTCCATGACTTAGCATCCTGCAACGGACTAAGCGAGTGGAGAGCCAGAGCTACCATCTCCCCTGACAATGTGGAACGGCAATGATGGGTAACTGTGGTAGGATGTAGTAACGCCCAATCGCCAGTTTCGACAGAACTGATTGGACGTAAGCCTGGAATGGTCCAAGCAGTCACTGACAGTCTGGAATCGATTTCTTAGATGGGTCAGCCGAAAGTGGCTGTCACGCCGGCCCGAGGCAGTCTCCACCATACCTACGGCGCGGCTCCAGAGGCTGATTTTCTGTTAGCCGGGGCATGTCGTACGCGGTTGAAGAATAATCAACCGTTCATCAGTTGACAGCAAATGGCATGCAAAGTGCTTTGCTACATGTTAATTTTGGGTACTTTTAAATTTTCTTATGTAATTTTATGTTTTGCACAGTTACTTTTGTTCCGTTTGATTGGGATTATTTAAAAGTTGATGGATAATAGAAAAGTATATAACTTTATGGATAACAGAAAAGTATAATACTTTATGGATAGCAACTTTTCAACAGAGACCAAGAATACCTCATTCCATCCGCCTACAATGAAATGACTAAAACAACAGAACAGAGCACTCCAGCCATCATTGCCAATTAATCCCATCTGCTATGTATACCTTGTTCTGACCCCTCCCATTGTTATTGTACTATTACCTACCCCATCTGCTATGTATACCTTGTTCTGCCCCCTCAACACTGGCTTCCTCCCATTGTTATTGTATTATTACCTACCCGATCTGCCATGTATACCTTGTTCTGCCTCCTCAACACTGGCTTCCTCCCATTGTTATTGTATTATTACCTACCCCATCTGCTATGTATACCATGTTCCGCCTCCTCAACCTTGGCCTCCTCCCATTGTTATTGTACTATTACCTTCCTCATCTGCTATGTATACCTTGTTCTGCCTCCTCAACATTGGCCTCCTCCCATTGTTATTGTATTATTACCTACCCCATCTGCTATGTATACCTTGTTCTGCCTCCTCAACATTGGCTTCCTCCCATTGTTATTGTATCATTAGCTACCCCATCTGCTATGTATACCTTGTTCTGCCTCCTCAACATTGGCTTCCTCCCATTGTTATTGTATCATTAATACCTACCTCATCTGCTATGTATACCTTGTTCTGCCTCCTCAACATTGGCCTCCTCCCATTGTTATTGTATTATTACCTACCTCATCTGCCATGTATACCTTGTTCTGCCTCCTCAACATTGGCTTCCTCCCATTGTTATTGTATTATTTTCTACCCGATCTGCTATGTATACCTTGTTCTGCCTCCTCAACACTGGC